AGATATAGATATATAGATATAGATAGATATAGATAGATAGATAGATAGATAGATAGATAGATAGATAGATAGATAGATAGATAGATAAACAGTTGTTTTATAAGCCTTGAAAACATAAAAAAGCTCCGTATAAAGTAACAAAAACATTTTAAAAAGTGCTTACCATCTCCTCCTCGTGAACTATTTCATCTATTTTTTTTTTTTTTCAAAAATGGAAAATAATCTTTGTTTACTCAGCTACATTTAATGGCTTTAACACAACTTTGTTCCCCTTGATTGTTTGGAGAGAACCTTTAATGTCCTGCTGCCACCACGACAAGGTAACAACCAGCTCTGGCAAAATGTGGCATTAATACCATTCAGGTCAAAGGTCACATGTAAACATTCAGCAAAGAAACCAAAAACAGTGTTTACTTAAAACTTTTGAGTCAATAAGCTCTTTCATAAAACAGCTCTGCAAAATGGCTGCACAGACTAGTTTGTCCTTCAGCTCCCTCTGGCCGTTCATAAATCACAGATGAAGCTGGCCACTTCCCTTACAGATGTGAGCCTTCATTCATACAGTGCAGAATCAAAAGAGGTGTGGGGAAAAACTCAGCTGGGTTCAAGTGGAGCGGGACACATAAAACGTGATGGACGTCCACCTGGTGTTGATTACAAAATATAACAAATTAACTCACTGTAGAGGTCTCCTGTGTTGTTAATTCTTTTTTTAAACCAACAACAGTTTCTGTGCATTAGTAAAATTCTCCGTAATAATAGTGTGAACACTCATGAAGCAACTATTGAGCTCATTTTATTCCTTCAGGTCTTTAGATCTTATTACAACCTTTTACTGCTCCTTTCACATTTGGTTCTGCTTCAGCTTCTTTCAGCTTCCTTGTGGAAATTTTAATATTTTTTCAGCTACTTTCAGCTTTTTCCAGCTGTTTTGTGCTTCTTTCAGATTCTTTCTGCTAACTACAACATTTTTGTGCTTCTTCTAACTTCTTTCTTGAAGTTCCAATTATTATTTCAGTTACTATTATTTAGCTGTTTCATGCTAATTTTAGCTTTTCAACTAATTCCACATTTTTTGCACTCATTTCAACTTTTTTAGCCTAATTCAGCAAAGATGTGCTCTCTCCACTTTCTTCTTGCAATTTCAGCTTCTTTTTGCTTTGTTAGCTACTTTTATGCTGTTTTTATTTTGCTAATTTGAGCTTTTTTCAGATAATTTCCACTTTTTGTGCAAATTTTTGCTTTCTTCACACTAATTGGGTAAACATGTGTTCTTTCTGATTTTTATGCTAATTTAAGCTTATTTTACATTTTTAGCTACTTTTTTACTCATTTTAGCTGTTTTCAGATAAATCCAAGTTTTTCATGGTAATACCTGCTACTTTCAGCCTAGTTAACTTCTTTCTGTTAATATCAGCTTGTTATGCCCCTTTCAGCTTATTTCTGCTAGTTTCAGTTATTTCAGCTACTATTTAGCTGCTTTTATGCCCATTTTAGCTTTTTCAGCTAATTCCACATTTTGGCACTCATTTAAACTTTTGTCAGCCTAACTGAGCAAAAATGTGCTCTCTCCATTTCCTTCTAGTAATATAAACTTATTTCTGCATTTGCAGACACTTTTCATTTTTTTTTTGTTGTTGTTGCTAAATTCAGCTTTTTAGCTCATTTCCTATATTCTGTGCTCGTTTCTGCTTATGCAAACCAAATTTAGTAAATATGTCTTCTTTCTGCTTTCTCCTGCTAACTTAGTCTTGTTCTTCTATTTCAGCTACATTTCAGCATGCTTTTAGCTAATTTCAGCTGTTTTCAGCAAGTTCTTCAGTAATAACAAGGCTGCTTTCTACAACCAACAGCAGCTGATTAACATCCCAAAAGCTCAAATTATATCTCAACTACAGCCCCAAATCTCAAATGAGTTGAAAAGGATGTTCTGTGGACGCATTCTCATCTACTTGCCAGCTGTGCTCGAGTGACTGATTACTGAGATCCTGGAACTAGCAGGAAACACGGCTCATGACAGCGGAAGGACAGGATCGTCCCTCGGCACCTACAGTTGGCTGTCCGCAGTGACGAGGAGCTCGGCAGACTGCTGGGAGGAGTGGCCATCGCTCTGGGAGGAGTTCTGTCTGGCATTCGGGTGGTCCTACAGCCCGGGGGAACCGAGAGGACGAGTCTGGGTGGACGGATCGGACGGCATCTGCAGCCAGTTTCTTAGGTTCCACTGTGGGATGGACCTTTACAAGAGATCCTTCCTGCCTACAGCCATCAGTATCTACAAAGTATAACATCTCAATGAAATGAGGATAATGAGTTACAACAACAAATAATTTCCCTTTGGGATTTATAAAGTATTTTTGAATTTGAATTGAATTGAATTGAATTGAATAAGCATTCACACTGCCTTTTTACAGGAAATGCAATTCTTCTAATTCTATTTGTTGTTTAATCCCATTAGCAGGCAGTAGCACACTAAAGTCATCAGCTCATCACTTTACAGAGTTGCGGCACCTCAGTTAAATTTTTCACATGCCGGCCGGTCCGACCCTGTAGGTAAAGTAGTAAACCAGGGGCGAACTGTTTTCAACCCCCATCACTGCCTCAGTCCATGTAGAGGAAACACTGAAGCGGCCAGAACATGTCTTAATCCCGGAGTGAGGCATCTTGTGAAAGTGTCTAATGTTGAATACATGCACAGATTTATAGCTGAACTTCTAATTCAGAAGTTAAATTTGCTTAGTGGTAGAACTGTTTTGTACAGACCCATTTTTGGGTGGGGTGGGCAACCTTTAATTTAGGAAACAAACAAACAAACAAACAAAAATGAATGCAAAGCCTCACAGCTTTCAAGTTCAAGATTTCCCTTATAATCAAATGTCTGTATTTTAGCACTGGGGTTTATACACAGCATCGGCTGTTATTTGGGGCAGCTGTGGCTGAGTGGTTAGAGTAGCCATCCTCCAATGGGAAAGTTGGGGGTTCGAGTCCACCAGCAGTCACATGTTGATGTATCCCTGGGCAAGACACTGAACCCCTCATTGTCTGATGTGTGTCCCATCGGTGTATGAATGTGATAAAGCACTGATTGGTCTCTGCAAAATAATTTGTTCAATTAGTCTTGTAGAGATGTACAAAGTAGTAGAGTGCTGTATGACTGTGTGTGGAGGTAAATGAGAGCACAGACTGTGTCGTAAAGAGCTTTGAGTATCTCAATTAGATAGAAAGGCACTATATAAGTACAGTCCATTTACCATTTATTTTTGATATGTACATGCTCAGTGGCAGTTAGCTGTTCTGTTTAATAAAGCAGGGGTTCCCAACCCTAGTCCTTGAGGAACGCCATCCTGCATGTTTTAGTTGTTTCCTGCTAAGACACGCCTAATATTAATAAATGGGTGATTAACAGGCTTCTGCAGAACAAGAGAAAGTAATTAAATCACTGAATCAGGTGTGTTGGAGCAGGAAAACAACTAAAACATGCAGGATGGTGTTCCTCAAGGACCAGGGTTGGGAACCATTGACATTATTAAAAACTACATTACTTTGAACACAAGTTCTGTAAGTTTTATTTATTTACAGTATATTGTTTACGCTGTAGCACACAGAGGATTTTTGTCATGCACTTTTATTTTTATGTTAATTAAAATAAATTAACTTGTTTTTCTTAATTAAAACAAAAGTGTTTCTTTGCCTTGGGGAGTTGTGCGGTAAAGTTAAATGAGGAAAAAGTGAGAAAAAACAAATGCAAATATTTTAAAATACCAAAGCCCATTTTGCTCACGCCTCAAATTTTTGTTCTTCATAAATTTAGTTTCTCAGTAGTTTTTTTCTTTTGTTTTGGACCCACCATGAGGAAGGAGTATCCTATCCAGAGACTCCTCCAGCCGCGGGGACACATGGGGATGGACGAGCCCTGACTGTGGATCGCCACCGCCTGAGAGGGAGCCTCGCACACTGAACACCTGGAGTGTGAATTAAAGTCAAAGTCAAATTTATTTATAAAGCACATTTAAAACAGCAGCTTTTACCAAAAGTGCTTAACAATAAGATCAAAAAGCATAAAAAATAAAAGCATAAAAACACAAACAGCAATGAGAAAACTATGAAATACTAAATCAAATCACACTGTGTCGAACGTCAGTGAATACAGGTGTGTCTTCAGGAGAGAGTTAAAAGCAGGAAGTGAAGTGGCCTGTCTAACGTTGATGGGCAGATCGTTCCAAAGTTTAAAAGCCATTGACTGAAAAACCCGATCTCCTTTGAGCTTCAACCTGTTTTTTGGTACAACCAAAAGCAACTGGTCAGATGATCTCAGTGCCTGAGAAGGAACATAAGGTTGAAGGAGGTCAGAGAGGTATGAGGGTGCAAGGCCATTTAGGCACTTAAAGGTCAATAGGAGAATTTTAAAATCTATTCTGACGTGCACAGGAAGCCAGTGAAGGGAGGACAAAACTGATGAAATATGCTCAAACCTACGAGATCCTGTTAAGAGCCGAGCAGCATCAGTCTGGACAAGCTGGAGACGTGAGAGGAAGACCTGACTGACCCCAACATAAAGCGCGTTACAGTAGTCCAGCCGGGTTGTAACAAATGCATGGACTATTTTTTTTAGGTCAGATCTGGTCAACACAGACTTAAGCTTATCTATCTGCCTTAACTGGAAGAAGCTTTTTTGTAGAACAGAGTTGATCTGCTTATTAAACTTAAAATCAATCTAAAACCATCCCAAGATTTGTAAGAGACTGCTTAAGATATGGCTCAAGAGAGTCAAGATTTACAGGATCAGAGACAGCAGAAGAGCTAGGGCTAAGCACAATAACTTCAGTTTTCTGACCATTTAAACTTAAAAAAATTGAAGCCATCCATGCCTTGATGTCATCAAGACATTTTAACAGAGGCTGAATGGAGCAAGAACTGTTGGGTTTTAAGGGCAGATAAATCTGACAATCATCAACATAACAGTGAAATGATAGACCATGTTTCCTCAGGATAGACCCCAGAGGGAGAAGATAGAGTGAAAACAGAAGGGGTCCAAGAATCGAGCCCTGTGGGACCCCACAGGAAAGAGGCTACAGATACACCATTTCCAACTTTAACACAGAAAGTCCTGTCACTTAATTAGTTAAAAACAATGAATACTTGATAAATTCTGTATACGACCGATGCAGCATTCAGGTGGGAACAAGGTGACTTTCTGTCTGTTACCTGCTGATGTACGGTCGTATATTCTCCTCGGCCACAGGCATCATGGGAATGGATTCAGATGTGGAGAGCCAGTAGGACTTGTCATTGCGGCTTGCGTAATAGCACGTCTCCGAGGGGTTACAGTAGAGGAAGGGGATGGTGCTGAACATCTGGAGGCATGAACCTGGCTGACCTGGAGAGACAGAAACCACAAAACTCTGGTACTTTGGATGAGGTATGTGCTCCTTGTGTCAACTAAACAAATCAAATTATGTCTGGAAATGATTTAAAGAGTCAAATCCTAGTCTGAGACATATTTGACAAAAAAAAAAAAAAAGCTTGTTTCTCCACCGAGGTCTTGGTTGTGAGCCTTCTCCTGTCCCTCCACGTACAGCAGACTGTATCCGTCCCACAGTTTGGCCATCCCCTGAGGACACATGGGAACCTGGGAGTTCTGGCTGTGCGTCACCAGAGTGTAGCCAACGCTGAAGCTGCGGCCGACACCACCGGGCAGACCGGGTCGGCCCGCTGCACCTGGGGGGCCTAAGAGGAAGAAAAAACACAGGTGTTAGTGGAGACAGTGTTACGTAAATTTAAGGAACCAAATGTTTTCAGTCAATTGATTTGTGCTAATATGAAATAATTCAACACAAAAACACAAATTGAAGAGCTGACAAATGGCAAATACACAAATATATTTAGAATCGCATTTACTCTAATTTTATTTTATTACAGGGAATGTGATTTTGTGATATTTGATTTTATGCTGGTGGAGCGAAAATGGTTTCATCAGTTTGTATGATTAACTAAATATCTTATGAACTACTGAACACAATTTAATGAAACTTTTCAGAAAGTAGTCAGTAGGTTGTCATATACAACTGGTTAGCGTTTGGACACACTTTAATGCAAGATGGCCGCCACAACCAACTGACCTTAAAAAAATCAAAAATGTCCGTAAATCATCCAGATTTACAGATATCGAGCTAAGATTTGGTGTGATAGTAGCTGAGTATTTTCCTGAACAAATTTTTTGAGCATAAAACATTACATGACATATTTCCCTAAAACCTTGCCATAAACTGTTACAGCCAGCCTTGTTTGTCTGTTAGCAAAATATCTCATGAACCACCAAACGGATCTTAACGAAACTTTCAGAAAATAATCAATGGATGTATTCGTGCAGCTGTTTAACTTTTGAAGTCTCCCCTATTCAAAATGGCCGCTACAGCTAACTGATTTTAGCTGATCCATTAATAGTCATGCATCAGTGAATTTTACAGATATTGAGCCAAATTTTGGTGTGACAGTAGCCAAAGTTTTCCCCAACCAATATTTTGTGTACAAAGCACCAGGAGATGTTTTATCAAATATCTCTGCGAAAACATGAACGTGACTCTTGACAGTTTTTATTTAGATGTATTAAACTCCTTAGATGTAAAGTAAATAGATTTAGGTTCAGTCTGTAAAAGGTAAATAATTAAATATTTTTGTTGGACCAATAAAATTAGACAACGTTAACTGAAGGTATGCAATTTAAAATAATGCAAGTTTACTGTACTTTTAATACAAAGTATATACAGAATTCATGCATAGAAACATGTCTCTTTCCTTACTACAGCTACAAAAATTAAAACATAAGCCTCAACAAAAATTATTTCCGGTACAAACGCAACAATATAAGAATATAAATATTCATGAATTTATTATTCAACCTATTTTATTCAACCTATTTTTAAGGAAAACTGGGTGTCAGTGCTTAGACAAGGTGCTGAACCAAACAAACAAAAAAGGACTGACCTTGTTGTCCAGTCAGTCCAGGGAAACCAGGAGGTCCAGCATCACCAAGTGGCCCAGCAGGTCCAGCTGAACCAATTCTGCCAAGGCTGCCTGGAAAGCCAGGACCACCCTTGGGACCTGCAACAGGAGAGTGTTTACCTCAGTGTCACTAAAGGTGCATACAAATATTTACACACATATATTCCACCTATTAGGTTTTTCCTTTATCCCTCTTAGTGGTTTAAGGGATAGTTCAGATCTTTTAACATGGCATTCTGTGAAAAGGTATGAAGAATCAGTGTCTTACCTGGCCTAGATAGCACTTTGAATGACCTCAGTTTGGAGATATAAAGTTTAATTTAAACGCACAAGTTAAAAGCTACTGGTAATTCAAGTGAGGTCAAGACCATAGTGAATCGCTGCCATCCTAAAACAAATCAAACCTAAAAAAAAATTACAATAATTCTAACAAATATAATTTTTACCTTTTATAGCTCTTATTTTTGCAGTTATTTAAACAAAATTATGTGGATATTCACAATAGCAAATTGTGGCAGCAGCTAGCTAGCTGTAGCACTTGGATTGCAGCTTGGTGCACTTAAATTTAATGCTTATACTATATGACCCACCATAAAATATTTGAGTTTATGATTTTTAAGGCGACAGCCATTTTGTTTGGTCTTGGACTAATTTGGACTAGCCATTTGCTCATCAATCTGGTAAGAATTAAACTATATCTCCAATCTGAGGTTGTCCAAAGAGATATCTACAAACAAACAAACAGGTCAAAAGATTTAAATAATACCTAAAAGGAAACATAATTAGCGACACTGCACCTTTAAGAGCACTTTCTGTTTGTGCAAAACTAGTTTCTATAAATGACTTCGCATATTTCAAACCTTTACTGTTTTTTAGAGAACAAAAAGTTGCAGCAATTACTCAAACTTTAACAATTTATAAAGGTAATTTTCATTTGTTACAAGAGCAAAAATGTAACTTCATGTGGGTGTACGCATCAAAACAATCAGAATAAGTCTTAACAACTGGGGGGGGGGG